TCAAACTGGCTCTTGAACGAATATTTGACTCATACCAGAATATACAAGGAATGGATTTCAAGCAGACACAATTGGCATTGCTTGCTCGATTATTTGCACAGGTAGGATCTAAGGTTTCCATGGCTGCTTAAGTAATGAATTGAACAATTGTATATCTTTTGTATTAACGTTATGTTGGTCATCATATTTTTGAACTTGGACGTCGTCGTTGATTATTTCTGTTGTAACTAGGATTTGGCAGATTGGAATAGCAATGAACCATCTATTAGAAGAGTGGTCACTAAGGCATCTAATCGAAATAGACAGTGAAAAATGTTAATCTGTGCAGAGAGACTTAACAATAAAAAAATAGCATTTGTTTTGTTTTCCTAGAATACATGGAGTTAGATTCCTTGGTTACTGTATCTGAGGATTACTTTATACTCTTTCGTTGCACTCTCTCCTTCCTGTAATATCAACTCCTGACTTCTTACCATAAGAGCGAGATATATTCGAGGATGGAAAATTTGCATGATTACTTACTCTACACCAAGCAGTTAGTGTGTGTGTGTGTGTATATGTATATCCAGAAATCAGCATGTAATTTGCTTCTTCCTTGGCTACTTTATTTTTTAAATGAAAATTCAAAAGCTCTAGTGAATTGAGCCATGAAATTTTTAGGCTCCGTTTCATTTCCCCCCCCACTTAATAAGGTTCTTTTGATATTTAACCCCTTAGAATGTGCAGCGGGAAAGATTAACCCCTAGAAATTGTTAATCTTGCAAAGTTATAGTGTCTTACACTGTTTTGACTGAAGGTAGCATGGTTGCAGTGCTCAAAAACTAAAGAATAATCAGTTACCAACGTATCCTTTTTCTTATTTTTTAGATTGATGCTGACACGGACGTGGTTTTGATGATGCAAAAACGAATTGTATCGGACTATCAAGAGCAAAAGGTACCTCTCTCTCTCCCTCTGCTCAACAGACTATCGGTGGTGTCTGTGACGGTTAACGAATACAAGTTTCTAAATTGTCCACCGAAATACAAAAATATGCTTGCTAGAGATATGTGGATCGAAATGTCTTTCATAATTGTATATAATGTGATCGTTATCAAAATAAACTAATTACTTCCCTGACTTTTGAATGCTAAAAATTAAGTGTGGTCTTCTTGGCTTTGGGAATACCACAGGTCTGAAGAGCTAAGATAAATCTTTCCCACATGCTTTAGTAAGATTGTTTTAGCCCATATAATGACTTTCTCAGCTGGCATGCTTTATTTCTTCCTGTCTTATATTCAAGACTTGATGAGAGATCCTTCTTTCTCTAAATTTCCGTGGAGAAAACTGTTGAAGATGCAAGTAGTTAGCATATATTCTGTATTATTGTAATTGATTAAGTTGATTATTTACCATAAATATACCTTACCATGGATAGAGGTATACAATCTTGTACTTAAATACCTTTGCTCTGAGTTATATTGAATTATTTGTTCAGACAATTTATCAACTCAAGTTAATTGTTGCTGCTCTTGAGTAATTTTTTGATGTATTTTTGCATCGCGTCTACTTGTAATCAATCCCTTAGGTTGAGCGTGTCGCTAACACCTTGGCTTTATAATTTCCTATACATCCATTAACTTTACATTAAATAGCAAGCACCTGTGTACAGCCACCACCATTTTTTTTCTCTCGGCAGTTTAATCCCATTTCTCATTCTCCTCAAAGTCTTCATCTTCCTCCAAGATAGCTTCTCCACCTAAAATCTTAGACTCTCCTTTACATAATTAGGAACAAGTTCAGAACTCAACTTAGGGGAATAGTCTTGTTGAGAGGTTTTAAGAGGTGATATGAAACCAAATGAGGAATGGGAATTTTCTTACATGTTCATTCAGGCCCACACTTTTGAGAGCAGTGAACAAATTAAGATTACCACTTTTTTTGGCTCAAGAATTTCCCCGGGGGAGGGGGGGGGGGGGGGG